CACTTTGTTATTACATCTATCAATGTCATTATGTACACTTTGTCATTACATGTATCAATGTCATTATGAACACTTTGTCATTACATTTATCAATGCCATTATGTACACTTTGTTTAATTACATTTATCAATGTCATTATGTACACTTTGTCATTACATTTATCAATGCCATTATGTACACTTTGTCATTACATTTATCAATGCCATTATGTACACTTTGTCATTACATTTATCAATGTGATTGTGTACACTTTGTCATTACATTTATCAATGTCATTATGTACACTTTGTCATTACATTTATCAATGCCGTTATGTACACTTTGTTCATTACATTAATTTATGTCATTACAACTAATTTAAAATACAGTAATCATACATGTAACTTTGCAAGGATTGCAACCTGTATGACCATTATCCAATAGAAGATTGAAATTGGATTCACCATGTCAGACAAAAGGGGAAGAAAATTCACAACAATAATGGTCACCAGTATTCGCTTCAATCACAGACAAATTTGAAGACCCATTTTACCATCATGTATTGTCTTGAATTAAATAGGCAAATGCATGTTAGAGAACGGCTCCAGAAATATGTTTTCAGACTTCCAATCAGGGGTTTACATTAGCACAAAGGTATTAATAGGACAGGACTTCTTACCAGTAAAAGATCTAACTGTATCCTGCCTTCTATATTAATGACTTTCATTTCTCTTGCTCCCATCTGCTTTGACTGAAATTTTGAATCTCGCATCGTTGTCCTCAAATCTTTGACTTTCCCTAGAAATGGAAAAGTCTGGATCTTCAAAGCCGCAGCTCGATTCAGCAGATATGGAATGTCAAAGTTCTGGATGTTGTACCCAGTGATGATATCTGGGTCAACGGCCTGGACAAACTTGCACCATTCCTAGTAGAAAGTAGTAAAAGTTGTAAAAATGTGCAAGGGTATACTTATATAATAAGGATTATGAACCCATGACATCATTAACATAACAATTGTTCCTGTACAACATTTATGTAATTTTTTAATAATAATATTCCAACCAGTTTTCAACTTGGCCAATTTGAACTAACCAATGGGCATTCTAGAATTTCCATAACCTGGTTATATTGGCATCAAACAAAAGTTTTTGATTGGTTAACAGCTTACAACTATGGCCAAAAAATGCAAATTACCTGGTAGTATACATTTGAACAATGGAGGATTTAGGAACTATTTAAAGTATTATTTGTTGATTAATGTAAAACAATTTTCATTATTACTTTACTCCCTCTCATAACAACCAGCTAATTGTGTTCACACCAATAAAAGTATTACTTACTTTTAACAATTCAGATTCTTTCTCGTAAGACAACACTTGCGATCCAACCACCGGAGCACACGACTTCAATGTATATACATTACGAATAAAAGGAATCTTCTCTCCTTGTCGTATAACCATATTGGATATCTGGATCACAGGATCTTTCTCGGGCTCCGGAAATATACCTATTAATAGTAAACATTGTGTATGGTACATTGTATGTGGTTAACGTTTGTAGTCGGACTCAAAATAACAAGCCCCAGTTAGTAGTAAAACATGCATGATCTACTTGTCAATTCTGTTGACAAATTTTGAACCATCAGCTGATGCCAGCAAACCACTCAAAATAAATAGAAATCGATTGAAAATTCTGAAATGACACCGGCACATTTCTACACAATGGATAAAAACATGTTGAAATATTCGTCTTGTTATTATATTGCTATTAACTCATTGAACACAAGAATTACCTTTGTCACCATGAACTCAAGCCCAATTAATTTTTTTGGTTTTGGTTTTGGTTCAAAATAAATTCTAAAATAAAACATAAAAGCGTGCAAAATGAGGTCCTGAAAATCTATGGCATTCAAACATGAACACAGTAGATACTGGTACCCTTGAAGCCAAATACCAACCTTTTCTCCCAGCACATTCAATATCAAAGCTTAGAATACGAAATGGAGCCATTTTCTGCCATTCTCCTTCTGGTGGATGACTTATGAATTTATCCCAGGCCACATCTACTTCAATCTGACAACAAGAGGAGCATTCATTTTTTTTTCGCAATTGATACGATCCTGCTGGTACCTCTACCCAATTACAGCCAACTACATCTGCATCTACCATGAATCTAATGTCAAAATGAAATTCACATTAAATATTTGGCAAGATAGCAATTAAAATTTGTTTACATGGACAGCAATTGTTAATCTGTGTAAAACGAATCTGGACATCATCCATGATGGCATCAGATAAAACTCTTGAAGATGGGGTGTCATGTCTACAAAGATTCAACCACTGCCACCACCACCAATGTCATGTCTACAGAGATTCAACCACTGCCACCACCACCAATGTCATGTCTACAGAGATTCAACCACTGCCACCACCACCA